ATATATATATATATATGTGTATATATATATATAAGAAATATTTTATGTGGTTTTCACTGAAATATTTGACGATATTTCAGTGAAAACCACATAAAATATTACAGAAAATGAGTACTCCCGGGTATTCGGATATTGACATAAGTGATAAAAGAAATGATTCTACTACTGTATTGATATTGGATCGCGGAACGTATTAATACTTAGTTGATAGATGACAATTTACATCAGTTACAAACGCAAAGTGTTTTCATAGCTGTTGGAAAATCTCTACTAAGATTATCCAGGAAACTCGAAACATTTATTTATTATTATTCATTAGGCGTGGAAAGGGTCAACGTTATGAGCAGCGGATTGAATAAAAATACGAAATGTCATAACCCTTAAACATTTGCGACTGCCGTCGAAAGTAAGCTTCCTTGATTCATTGTCGCTATCGTCGGTAGTTTATATAGCACACGTATAACACGTGGTAGCACGTGTTTAACCACGTGGCAGTACTGTCAGCCTATTGGCCTGTTCTTTATAGCTGAATTAGCTGCACTAGTTCACAGTTTATCTTTTTTTTCTACATTAGAAGAAAATTAGAAGAAGAAAGATAAACTCTGCAGAACTAGCAATCAGTTCAGCTATAAAGAACAGGCCTTATATCGCGTATAAATGGCAACCAGGGTTGAGAAGTAACTCGTTACTTGTAACGAAGTTACAGTTACAGTTACTTTTTTTCAATAACTGTAACTTAACTTTGTTACTTTTTTTCCATGTGTAACTATAATTTAACTTGTTAGTTAGATTTTTTAAGTAACTAGTAACTAATTTAATAGTTACTTTTACAGTTACTTTATATATGTCAAATCGTCATTTTCATGAATCAAAATTATGCAACACTTTTGCTCAATCACCTAATTGTAATGTTGATTGTAATTATGCGAAATATTTAAATGCTCATATTTAAATATTACGCGCATTACTTTTCTTTTTTAAATAAAATTATATAATATGTAAATATAAATCAGTCTTTTTTTATAATGCTAATGTTGTTTTATTAAAAATAACTGATAAGTAACGATTCGTTACTTTCTTAGTAACTGTAACTGTAACATGTTATTTTTCAGAGTCGGTGACGGTAACTATTTACTTTTTGAGAGATAAAAACTGTAACTGTAATTAGTTACTTTTACAAAGTAACTTTCCCAACCCTGGTCGCAGCACGGAATCGTTCCTTAGCTTCTACAGTCTACGCGATTGTGTGTACGTGCGCGTGCCTCGCTAATGAGATAACTTTACACAAGTGCGTGCTACTCGCCGTAAGCGCAGAGAAAGGTTGTTTTATCATTCGCTTCTGCCGCGTTGTGCCATTCCTGGAAGCTGGAATCGCGTTCCCTCGATTACGAACGTTCACAATCACCAAGGGATCGTCTCGGCAGGCACACTTCGCGTAATTTAATTATTACATCCGCGTGACTGATGCGCGCGTATCTCGCGCGAGAGAACTTTTCGCGGAACGTGAGAACGATTCAAATGACTCTCGATTATAAAGTCGTTATTCGTTAAGAAAAGATCTTCGCTGTCGTTTATTCACGCGCGTTGCATATGCGTAAAAATCTCGTAACAAGACAAATATTGTTACGTTCCCTTTTTGTTCCTATATAAAAAAGTGCATGTAAAGTCGGTAACTCGCATTTCTCGAAATTATTGCTGTCACTTTTCCGCGATGCTGATTGGTTGTCTCTGCGCTTACTTCGTGTAAGCGGCTGTGTCATTGCATTTTGCGTATATTGAGGTTGATGTAATTGTAAATTATAATAAGAAGCGTTAAATAGCGCGCGTGAAGTTCACGTTTGTAGTGCTAGTTTTAAAAATTAAAAAAAAAACCGTCGCGCTCGAAAATATTATTTTTAATTTGTGCAGGCGCCGCAGCAACGTGTTTCTACGACTTTCTTCATAATGATAGCCCTTATTATCCTCGGCATATCTCTCTTACTTTTCGTCTATGTCTTTCGTAAAAATCGCAAAACGCTCCGACTTCCACCGGGACCATCCGGCATTCCGCTGCTCGGTTATTTGCCGTGGATAGATCCTGTACGTCCTCATGTGTCGCTGACAGAACTGGCGAGAAAATATGGCCCGATTTGTGGACTAAGAATGGGCTCTGTCTACACAGTATTGTTATCGGATCCGCAGCTGATAAGACAGACCTTTGCTAAGGATGCGTTTGCTGGCCGGGCTCCATTGTACTTGACGCACGGAATGATGCAGGGATATGGTGAGTAAACTTTTTTTTGTTATTAAATAAAATAAAATTAGATCCGCCACAAAAACAAAAGAAAATAAGAACATAAATACATAATGAATATGAATTTGTAAAGATCGCGGAATAAATCGCAAAAAATTCAAATGCAATGAATGATTGAAATTAAAATGTGGAGGTTCTAACAAGTTTGGAGGCAATAAGTTAAATTTTTTTTTGTACAATATATTTGTACAATATAATTTTCGAAATTTTATTGATTGATGTAGTGAATAAGACAGGAGAAGAGGCAACAACTTTTTGAATTTTATTGAACGATGTAGTGGAAAATAGTAGGTTTTTATTCAATTCTTAGATAAAAAGAATTGTTACCAAAATATCTAAATATTTCGCTAGATATAGATCGAAAAATAATTTTGAACCATCAAAATAATTACGATCAAGCATTACTGATTGCGTGGCTCGATGTTTGACAGCGGGTACTTTGTATGAATCTTCGAGTCGCCCCCGTTACTTGAGATACGGAGTGTCGCGGGCAGAATACGCGATAGATAAAAAAATATCACGGAGAACGTACCGCCTCGTCGAACTTCTTTATTGCTTTATATCTCGTGCCAGAAATCGAAACGTTTGAGGTTTGGCGCACGTTTCATCGATATATCGGAAGTTGCAATTACCGCTCGCCGCGGAGCTGTCGCTAGTCCCCTGATTTGTGCGGCGCGACTTTTGTTTCCAGAGGAAAACAGGGTTACTCGAACGGTCGTAAGTTTCGGTCGCCGGCTGAAAATTCGCTCGGCAAGGCCACAAATTCCATCGTCGGCGACGGCGGCGGCAGTAAGCTGATTGTGAACCGAGTGGAGCCGAGCGGTGCTGTGCCGTGCCGTGCCGACTCGGCACGATAATTTCACGACAAAGTGTACCACGGGACCCAGTGGTACCTTTACACCTCGTTTCGAAAGCTCCCATTCTCCCGTTCGCGATCCTCCGCCGTCTTCGGCGCGCTTCCCTCTCACCTTCCCCGCTCCCTATGCCTCCTTGTCTCCCCGCATCTTCTTTCTTTCTTTTTTTCTTTTAATGCCGAGTGCATACACGCGCGTGTACATGAGCCTTCGCCGATGTTTACGAAGCGCCATGCTTCCAGTCAACGGCCTCGTGATTTCTCCATTCATTTCCTTCGCCGATCTCTTACATGTGCGCCGATCTAGCGGCGGGCGAGCCGATAATACTCGCGTGCATCACAAGTGGTATTGATCTCGAGACGATCGCTTATTGGGCATTTAAATTTAAAAATATGGATATAAAATTATTTATTTGAAATTTATGCTATCATTTTTGCAGTAAACGACGATTTAATAGAATCTGCTTCTTGAATTTTATTTGTAATATTTAATATTGTATTTATACATACATAATTATTTAATAAAGTTTAACCGTCGGGTTATAAAAAAAGAAGTTTTAATTGATAAAAAGTAACATATTTTGTTGTTAGAAGGTACATATATTCGCAAAAGAAAGAAGAAGATGAGTTTTTAATTGATGACTTAGAGAACTTTTGGATATCCGTCTTTTGTTGTTTCTTATCGTTAAAACTGCCGATCGAATCGAATCGACGTCTACAGATCAATCATTTCTCTCTGGAATAGCGATTGACATGCTAAAAATTTCCTGAAAAGAAAAGTGATATTTTTTCACACAGTCCTTAATAGCGTTAGTCGACATGTTAAAAGTTTTCTGAAAAAGAAGAGTTTTCCGTAGATTTTTTACACAGTCTTTGAACTATACTGATATGCTAAGATTCCTGAAAATGAGTGATTTCCCGTAGATTTTTAAGCACTGAAAGCGATATTGCTCTCAGAATTTGCCTATATCACATAAATAATTATAACAATATTAGTTTTATTACTCTATTATAGTTTGCTATTATAACTTGCTGCTAATTTTCACAATTATTAATGGCAAATTTACTGGATAAAATACAAATCTTTTCAGCTGTTAAGTTTCTCGATTTCCACCCTAGCGTGTTGTGATGAGTAGGCGCACGCGCGCACTACGAGCACACGATGCTGCATGGCACAGTTTCGTAATATCGGAGATACTCAGACGCGAGTACAATGTTTAAACTTTTATTTAAGATCTTTTAGAAGTTTCTAGCACATTAGGTTCGTCTGTTACGATTTTTTAAAGATTGTCAAGAATGTGCGTTTTTTTATAAGGATTTCAACCTCATTTTTCTCGAAAATGTGATAGGCATACTCTGAGGGCAGCATCGCGCTAAAAAATCTACGAAACCACTCCTCTTTTTCAGAAGACTTTTAACATGTCGACCAGTGCTATTAAAAAACCATTTATTTTATATAATTACATAAAAAATTAATAAATAACAAAGCTAGTAAGAGATTGAAAGACGTATTTGGATGTGTGTACTATAGGATGAATAATAATATAAAATGAATTTTATACATAAAAAGCAAATTAGTTTTTTAAAATAATCATCATTATATATGCATATCATACATTTCTTATTGATGAACATTTTATTGCTACTTTCGCATCAACAAATACTGTTGCAGCGACTTTGACGGATTGCATGCATATTTCTATGAAGCATAAAAATCTCTAATTTATTCTAACCTTCGTCGTGCAAATAACAGATTATGGTTGCCTTACAAAATGTTATTTTTTAAAATAATTTAAAGTGCGAAATAAACTTTAAAAAAAAATTATAAAAAGAGTCGTGTTGGAGATGAAAAGATTTAGAATTCAAAAAGAAAACAGTGATAAAGCTAGCTCAGTTTTAGACATATGCAACAAACCGATAAAAATGAATTCGTGTTGCACGATTATATTTCAGTGCGGCTACATTCTTCCCATGCGCACCCTCACAACATTGAGACGCTTCTGCTACCTTTCACAAAAGACTCTTGCGTTCAGAGTGCCTTCCTCCACTCCTCGTAGCTAGATGCCCCTCCAGAGAAGATCCTCCCGCCGTTCCGTAGGTTTCCTTTCTTTCACTCTTTTGAAATAATGGTGGGGGATCCTAGCCACGCCTCCGTCAAGAAGCACTGTCTGCAGGTACATATTTCGCGATACGTGAACTTTCGCTAAACTTAGATCGACCGCGGGATTCGGCTCAGCAGGAAAGGGAGACTCTTTGAAGTACCTAACGCTTGTTTCCAGTAGTGAGGGTCGGGATTAGTCCGGCGAACAGAGCGGCCGAACTACATTGCGGACCGTTACTACTTACGGAAGTGCGCATCACCACGCGTTGAAGTCTCCAAAGCAAAGTGATCGATAAAAACGCCTTGTCACTCTGCGCGTTTTCCGACAGAGCTCGACGAATACAACAGCTTTTCATTTAATATCTCTTAATATTTAAATTTTACAATATTTATAATAAAATCCCCTTTGAAAAAAGGCATATTAAATCGATACTCGAATGTATCGAAGTATTGCTAGCTCTTTTCCGCGACGCTTGATTCTGTTACTGCGCTCATTTCGCGAACGCCTGTCATCGCATATTTTGACAGTGCGTATTAAGAGAATTTATTTAATTATTTAAAGGTACCCGAAAACTAATTATACTAACTTATATATGTTATACATATATACCATATATACTATATCAATTTAACTAATTATACCAGAGTGTTGAAAAAAGATTAAAACTTTAGCCTTAGGTGCTTTATTCTAAAACACCTAATAATATAAAAAAATTATAAATTTTAATTTAAATAAACAATTTTCAAATCAATGATTTTGTGAAAGCCTATAAAAATATTCAAAGTATCAAAACTATTGCATTCAAAACTAGACACATATTCCGTAAAATTTTATCTTCAACAATAGTTTGATTATATTTTTCAAACTAATTAATATTCAATATTGCACTAAATGCGTTTCGAAAAAATTTCTTGTGTAAAAATTACTTGCAATACATTAAGAAATAAATTTTACTCTATTTGCTGCGTTAAATATCCATTATTGAATTCTCAAAATTGAATACTTACTCTCTTTATTTAAATTTGCTTGCATCGTAAATAAATCTTTATTTCAGTTTCTCTTAAGATACAATGTTTTGGAAATTATCATTATATCTCGATTATTTATGCGACACCTTCAGCTTTATCGCTGCTAAATTTAGAGTGTATACCCTGTACTTTGGTGGCTTGATAAAATTTTATGAGAGAAATATCATACATAAATCTTGATGCCTACGTGACAGATGGACACGGGGAAGAATACCGACGCGTGCCTTCTGAGGCGCAACCAGTGATTATCCGACAGCGCGTTTACACGCGCCTCTTTATGGGCGCGCTCACATTTCTTATGCGGTCGGCAAACTGGTTGCCCCGCCACGACGGATAATGCCGTGCGTAATAGCGTTAATTTATTATAGAGCGCGCCGATAACTCGCCGTCCGTAAACATATTACGCAAGTTTCTGCTTGCGCGACGCGTATCGCATTGCCGAATCGATCAACTAATTCATGTCTCGTAGAATTCTGTCAATCGCGAATTAGAAATAAAAAAGAAAAGGTAGATAAATTTAGAGATGCGCGAATTATTTATAAATGACGGCATTCTATTTCTGATGTGCTTAATTTTTTGTGCTTAATTTTTTTATCTTTTACTGTCTTATTTTATCTATAATTAATCCCACTTTGGATTTCGATAATTGCGCTATTGTTTAATTTAATCATTACGATAGGTACGAGTATATTTTAACAATATCAAGATCCTCCTTTCTGTCAATCTTCTGTCAATTCTTTTTAATTAACATTAAAAAGAAAGTTACAGTATGCGGATTTACAGAATCTTCAGACAAGAATACTATTCTATCGATTTGTGTATATTTTTATGTTAACGCTAATTTTTAATTGCAATGATAATCTGAGCATTTAAAAAAATATATGCAAGCCCTTTATTAAAACTTATACGAAAAATAGTCGAAATATAAAATCTGAGGCTTATGTTCTACAATAGCCGTACTTCTAGGAATAGGCTCGTTCCAGGAAG